GGACAAAAACGGCCTCCGAACTTTTTTGTTGTACGAGCGACTTGTTGATGATATTTTTGTTACCACTGATGTAGAACATGGTCGGTCCCATTTGGAAGTTTGTAACCCGCCCTCCTAACCTCCGCACTATATCAGAATTTGGATCGAATGACTGTCTGACTTTATTGTATTGGTGACCCCATCGACTGGTCCCTGTAACGTTCCGTTCGCTGAAAGTCGTTATCATTCACATTCCCCCAGTTACACCAAACAGCTCATAAGCTTCCACTGTTTAAAAAAAAGCTACTCTACAGAGTGACAAGTGTACACAGTCCAGAACGACTAGAGTAAGTAGAATTTTTAACGGAAAACCCTGATGAACAGTGGAGACCTAGAGGGCTGCATCGGTATTCACAAGAGAGCAAGATCACAAGCAATCCCGTCCACCCATCCAAGATATCTGACCGAAGCTAGCTCACTTCTGAGTGTTTACAGTGTGGCCAACCAACGTCTGATATCTCCCACCCGATTACTACCACGGTACAAACATGAGCTATAGCTCTCTAACCTGTCTGTTTTTCGTGTAATTTAAGGGTTTTCCTGCAGTAAAGAAGGCGGTTACATCGGCAGTACGGAGAATGTCTAGTGGAACATGTGGAAGAACACATTCCAAAGGATGTCATCCAGATTTTATGAGTTGCCAGTTGTCAAGCCACACTCCTGAATCGTGGATAGTCATGGAATCGACCCAGTCAAATCGATCCAACTCTAATTGCGCAGCACAAGTCCCAAGGTCCTAGAAACACGCAGAACGCCAGTGACCATATGAAAACGTGCACTCAAATTCTAGGTTACCCTGGAATTGATCAGGTGACTTTCAGAGATCAACCGATTGGTGTCTGTTCAACACCGCTTATTCTGTTTACACTACCCACAAGTTTTTTTCATTCGCAAGTGAAGAGAGTACAATAACCTTTAATATATCTCAGCAAGTTTCTTACGCGAGTTCTAATAATACCGATAGACGTATATAAAATGTTACATTAAAAAGTCCTAGGTTAGTTCATGTACACCTTATACTCTGATGGCATGAGTACCCTCCGGAATCATCTTACAACAAGTCACCGGTATCAGGAGGACCAGCTCCGAACGTAACGGGACTACATAACAGCCAATGGAATAACCGTTTTCGCTGAGACAGATTTCATTCGTTGTTCTTCACTCGTCCTTGACAGATGAGTTGTAGTCTTAGCATCATTTTTGACCGCTTGTACGCGACAGTGATCAATAGATCAGCCGGTTCGCACGTTCATTGATTTTTTCTGGTTTGGCCAAGCGCATCAGGCTATCAAGCGGCTTTCCAGACCGGGGTTCACGAGAAAAAGAAGGCCTTAAGGGACTGCGGTCCACAACAACCTGTCAACGCGACTACTTATAGATTCTTGAGTATTCTGAAGAGCATTGCATGATTGTCGGTGTGAAGAGACAAAACGTTTGCCCCCAACTTTCTTCTTGAGTTCAAGTATTCGGACGTCAATATATGAGTTCACAAATTAAGTTAGTCCATTTAGGAGATTGTGTTCTGTTTGGGTTTATCTTGTAGAGGTCCCAAATCAACTGCTACATGGCGTTTAAAATCCTTAGTTTAACCTTCTGCTCATGTCTGACTGGAGGTCCTTACTAGGGGTCTTTACTCTATTGAACATCTCCAAATGTGGTTGTTACTTAATGGTATTTTTGTTGCTGATGTGGAATTTTTTCTTGAACTTTCTAAATGTGCTTGTAAGCACCCCATGTCGCCTCCCCATAAATCTCTCTGTGTCTTCAGCAACAGATATTTGTTGGTCTGATAATTCGTCAGTTCCTCTCGAATCCACTTTGGTTTTCACAAATAAAGCGCGTAAAGTCAGCCTCATTTCCAAAATGAAAAATTAAAGTGATTGTGGTTGAATAGATTTTTGCCAAAACGTAAACTAACATTGAACTTGTTGCAGTCAGATAAACGTAAACAAACTCTTGGATAGTAAGACAGGATTTGG